ACCTTTATGTGTATATTTTTAACAAACAAAGAAGACAACAGCTCGCCTGTGTGACGCGAAGGCCTCGAGTGGTGTTTCTTGCCCTCTCCTCTGCACCTTAAGCACGTGACGCCACCGCTTTCACGTGCACAGCCTTCTTCAAATCACATTCGTTACCGTATTTACCCCATAGTAAATACATATATGTCACATGCAAGATTGAATCCATACAGATCGAGGCGACACTTTCGTATAAATACTCACGGTCTTGTCAAACGTTTGATAGAGTGAGTGAGGATTTATGTACCCCTTATCAATATTCAGCCGTATCAGAATCGGCCTCACACATTGTTATATTCAACGATTTGACCAGCGGGTTAATTTAACACTGGTCGGGAGGTAGGTCAAATTGAAATACGTCTTGCCACATAAAAATGATTTAACGCCGTATAATGGGTTAAGGGTACACAATGCTTATACAAGAGCACATGGGCAATCTGGATCTATCATATCCAACTCTCTCTATGGAGGGCGCCAGCAACAGTACTGAAACTACACATGTACATCGGTATCTTGTTCGACCTATGACTTGCTGGGGTCAATCTCCAATGTAGAGACCCAGAAACAACTTACATATTCTCAAGCTAGTCAACAACGCTTTAGCAAGTCTAGATGTCTTCAGTTCCCGAAGGAGCGGTCGGGTAGCCTCGTGGTTAAAGCGTGGTGTCCTCCGCCGTGATATTGCAGGAATATTGCTAAATGCGGCGTAAAACCAAACGCACTCATTCAGTTCCTGAAAATGAAGACATTCTCGAGGCTCGTTTGTATAATATATTAAATGACAATTTAACAAAAAGGAAACCTTAAAATCTTAAAATGTTTTCATTCAGAGACTACTTTCAGAAACAACTTGGATATGGTATTCTGGGATTTTTTATGGGTACAAATATATTCGATCCTTGTGCTATTTAACGCCATGGTAAAAATAAAATGAAATAGTTGCATGTGTATCAAGGTTAAAGGCGTGAAGACCACGAGACTAAACACACACACCATCCTGCCCTTACCTTGTCATGTATAAACCATGCGATCCCTTTCAAGTCTATTTACAAGGAACGCATCACACAACAGAGGACACACACCGCCCTACAACGTTACATTTGTAACATACAAAGCTGATTAACAATTAAATATTGGGTTGCAACAATAATTGCGTTTATGGTATTTCTGAATACTCCAGTACAACAGAACGTACGTAGTCTGACCTTCAACTTGAGACCTCGAACCACTAACATGACACACACTTAACATACAAGTGGTTCCCTGATACAGATAGCCGTCGCGGGGGTCACTTCCTGCGCTGAGTGGACCCCCATCTCTCGGTGTTATTCAGCTCTCGTGACTGTAACTCCACACTCCCCATGGGGACGAGACTGACGATTTAGACACGGCGCAAGCGAGACTACATATAAACATCATTTACAAGGAATCCTGTCTCCAACTCTATCTCGTTGTAAGAGACGACTAACGGGATCGGGTGGTCAGGCTCGCTGACTTGGTTGATGCGTGTCATCGTATCACAATTGCCTGGATCGATGCTCATGATGCCAATCATTGGATTGTCTAGTCCAGACTCGATTATCTACAGACCGCCGTCATATAGCTGGAATATTGCTGAGTGCGGCGTTAAACAACAAACAAACAAACAAATCTAACTCAACCAGTCTGAGACACCCTTTAGGATGATGCAATTCTGTGATTCGAGCGGACTCCTCATCAGCACAATTGTGTATAAGGGCAATTTACTCGCTTTTCTCGAACAACACAAAAACTCGATGTATATGCCATTTTAAACAGGTTTATTTTCTAATAACTTGAGACTAAAAAAGTGTTTCGCTCTTAATGTGCTTAAACTCACTGAACTTATCGTATATATATAAGACCATTTATCTCGAATTCGAGATACAAATAGTCACCTATATATCGAAGATCCGTGTACTTTGTGCATGCTCCAGACATTCTTTATAAGCGGGCCATTTGTCCTGATTTCGAAAAGTTACCAATATCTCGATAATGTGATCGAGTAGGTCCTTACGAAAATGTTTAAGTACCTGTTTTGAAGTTGGGTTAAGTGTACACGTAAACTTTGTAACTCCGTTCACTACCGCGTACATTCCGTTACTATAGAGATGGCAAGCGAGTGTATGCCGACAGGAAGTCTGCCCAGTTCTCACAGCCTCAGACGAAGTGGCCTCTGTTTTATCTGAGATTGACAACGGTGTGACCGCCATGTTGTTAAACAAATGAAAATAACCACATTAACAATTATCATCATGTTTAACTTAATATAATAAAATAAACGACGAGTGGGAGTTTTTTATTTCATATATGAGATATCAACATCATGTACAGCCTATTTAAGGATGATGATAAAATGTACAAGCTTTAAACAATCTTTTCTCGTATTTAAGTAATTATGACTCCCTCGAGAGAATCCAACCTCTGCAATGTCGGACAAGTCCATTTTATGCACAGGTGGGTATTTCCTGCATATTATTACAATCCTCACGTCGATACCTGTACCATTTCTCCAAATACCGATTGTCACATCTCTCCGGAGTCCCGCTTCTGGATGCGATCGTTCAGCTATCGCGTTTATCTGCGTTGCCCATGTACATCTATGAGGAACAACTCACTAGACGCTCCCCTCTCAAAAATAACGTCGTCCAATAAATACGACGTCGTCAAGTTGCGAGCGCATGTTCGAATCTCTCGAGACCCGTGAAGATTCCGGGGTAGAATAGGTCTTCAGCAACCCATGCTTGCCGTAAAAGGTGACTATGCTTGTCGTAAAAGGCGACTAATGGGATCGGGTGGTCAGGCTCGCTGATTTGGTTGATGCATGTCATCGATCTCAATTACGTGGATCGATGATCATGATATTAATCACTGGCTTGACCGCCGTCATATAGCTGTAATATTGCTGAGTGCGGCGTTAAACAGCAAACCAACCAACCAATCGAATCCCTAGAAATGACGTCATGACAGAAAAATGTTTATCGTGAAATAAACCACGCTTCGTTCTTCGTTGCGATTTATCGTGTAGCAATCTTATATTTCACAATAATATATGAAGCTGAACAGACTTGATAAAGACTTGATCTGTGTATTAGCTAAGCTCCGCACTCTTTCTCTTAGTTTGAAAATACAAAAAACTGCGTTATAGTTAAAATAATGCGAAAACAAATGTTGATCAGCTGCTGCTTTTCTGTGATGAATTAGTTGCTGAGGACGAGTACCACTTTGTACTTTTCTGTTCATATTATTAGCAAAGTAGAAATACATTCATCCCACAATATTACCATAAACATCCTTCTCGTCAGAAATTAATAGAACTAATGTCCTCTACAACACAGTCAACAATCAAAGGTCTTGCTTTGTGTCTGAGGAGAAATGTATGTTTCAATTTTTTTTAAAAACACACACAAAAAAACCCCAAACAAACATATTTATGTACGTCACATATCATGGAATACTTGTATGTTAATTGTGTAAGATCCACAAATAAATTAGATATAAATGTATTGTACTCTGGGCCCCGAGGCCTTCAATACTGAAATAAAGAATTTTGAATCTTGAATCTTGAAGCTGAACAATAACGATAAATTAAGTAAGAAATGAGAGTCGATGATGTTTAAGTGCTACAGCTGATTAATATTGGATTGTGTGTTTTAGCTATGAAATTAAATTATTCGAGTTATATCACGGTGTGTCAGCTTAATGTGGGAGGAAAGTGATGCAGGTCTCAGACGTTAACCTCGAAAAATAATCGGGACGAACCGGAATTCGAACCCACATTCATAGGTTTCTGGCGTGGCCAAGGGACACAACTGCACAGCGAATTGCAGCGCCTTAGACGACTGGGCCCGCCCCATGTGACCTCGCCCCATTCAAGACATTTGACAGTGGTAAAATGCTGGGCACTCGTGAGTACACTGGCATATGCTGTAGGGCATGTAACTTGGTGTGCTACAGCCACGTATTTCAACCATTGTATATTGCCTGGTTTCATTGTGAACCTCCACGCCAGAAACCTATGATTGTGGGTTCGAATCCCGGTTCGCCCCGATTATGTTTCTAGGTTTGTCAGCACCATACCCGTGCTCGTGGGTTTCACCGAAGTGGTAAACGTCTGAGACCTGCATGACTTCGGGCTTTCCTCCCACATTAAGCTGACACGCCGTGATATAACTGGAATACTGTTAAAAGCGGCGTTAAACCCAACTCACTTACTCATTGTGAACCTAACACCCTGTTTCAATATAATTGTTAATTACTCATTGACTTGTAGTCATTTACTGATTTAACAAATTAGGTATATGGAAATAATGTCTTCGTTAATCTTTGCACTTCAGTTTGGGACCCAAGCCGATCCGGGGTAGAATTGGTCCTCAGCAACATATATGCTTGCCCTAAAACGCGACTATGCTTGTCGTAAGAGGCGACTAACGGGATGGGGTGGTCTGGCTCGCTGACATGGTTGATGCATGTCATCGTGTCCCAACAGCGTGGATCGATGCGCATGTTGTCAATCACTGGATCGTCTGGTCCAGACTCAATTAGACCGCCGCCATATACCGGTAGCTAGAATATTGCTGAGAGCGACGTTAAACAACAAACAAACAAACAAAAAATAATAATAATTTCTCATATCATGGAACTACCTTGCAAGTTCATGAATATATAGTTTCGTCGTCTCCAGCTCGCATTTAGAATTTTTATCTGTGTAAGTTACGTCCACTGACCTGATTTATCAACAATTGACTGAACTTGAATACCACGCCCAGTATCAGCTCATGCGAGTTCATGTGAAAAACATTTGAACAACGTACTGCGTGCTAGATTTACATCGAGTCCTATAACTAAAATTACATTATCTAAGACCGAGCGACTGCAATTGGCTGCCTGTAATTATACATATACCGACAAGGAAGCGATTTCACTGATAAACACGCGGCCTAGATAGTGTACGACGCAGTAATGCAAGGGCGATAAGTGGAGTTGGGTTCAATATAAGCGTCCGAATTCGCGGAACTGCAAAATCCACTCGCTGGGATGGAACTTGTCTAGAGTTAGACTTAGAGAGGCGGCATGGCTGTCAGTGGCAGTCTCTGGTCTATTTGTGTGTTTTTCCTACCCGTAGTATCAACACAGATGATTGACTTGACTGGTAACTGTTCAAGAACAGGTCCACCAGAACCTCTGGATATATGGGGAGTGGAAGAGGTACGTAAACTTAACAGTATATATAGTGTAGCTTATGATGTAAATGGTCCGTTGGCCACGGTACTCGTGAAAACCACTGCATCAGGGCTGTGTTCTGAGTAAACATGTGAGGTCACGAGTGGGTTGTCAGTAACAGTGAACAGCCCAGTTTGTTTTGAGTTTGATATTTTGTTCAAGGATCGTTTAAATAACTCGAGCGCTGATTCTAATGGCTGTCAGTACCACACAAACAACACCATACACCAAGACGTTGCGCAACAGTTGCATTGGGGGAGGGGGGGGGGGGGGGTTGTGTGTCAAACGTGATACTGTGGGGGTGGCGGTGATTCATTTTCGAGAGATGAGTAGTGTGCTTTGGTAGCTATCTATCTTATCACATATTTGAAATACAGAGCTGCTGCAATAACTACCCCATATCCTGAATGATGCTTACAAACAGTGTAACATTCCTTACAAATGACACAGTGTCACACATACAGCGGTAGGTTGGTTAAATTACATATTTCTAGCATATACATTTCACATTTGGAGATTGATACTCTCGGAAAGGTGGTATCATTTTGTGTGTTATCAAATATATATATATCAGAAAGTAGTATTTGAACTTGTAATTAAACCACATGAATTCATAACTGCTCAAATAAACATGCTATTTATTGACCGGTGTATCCTAAAAGCAGTGACGTAGCAACTACATAGTTACCATATGAAGTGAGTGCTTACTGTTATAAATTGTTACAAAAATAAAATGAAAAAAAATGTCCTATACATCTGGTGTGTTCTTCTTTTAGTCATTTGTTATAACTTATTCACTTTAATACATAGGGGATATTTCATGTGTTGAGTGAAATAATATGTTTCTCTCATCTTGTGAAGGGGGAAAAGGAGATATTTTCACAGATATTTTCATATATCACAAGATGAGAGAAACATAATATTTCACAAGACATATGGAATATCCTAGTTATTATATACTTTTTGTGTAGGTGTCTACAGGTAAATTAAGTTATTTCATTAAAAATCTAAAATCTTGAAATGTAAATTCTTCCTACCTAACACACAGGGACAGTTCATCACCCCTTGTGTTTGCATCTTACAAAGTAGTTTTGTGTTTGCAAAATCTTAAACAATATAAACAAAAGTATCCAAAAATATAAAGGTTCACAAAAAATCCTTTGTCAGACATTTAGATATGATTGAATACAAAATCCACTTTAAAAAAAATGGACTTCAAAATTGGGAGTCTTCTGTTGGAAGCAAAAGAATAAACGCTGGTCAAGTAACAAAAATGGCGCTTTGCGAAACGAACAGTCTCGATTGGCAAGTTAATTGAAAAATTTACAGTTTATAAAAAAACATTTTCGAGAGAATAACAAATGGCAAGAAGTGATATTAACTCCATAAGTGGCCAACTGTCATTATTTTGCCTCGTCAATGTGGCACCTACTTAAATAGGATGTCAACAGTTTGTGGATGGGCTGGACAACGTAAAGGGAGACAATTTGAGGGGAGGTCACTCTTGTATGACAAGAGTTCCGTTAAAGTGTTATTATCCCCCACCCCAATAGAAATGGGTTCCGTTGTGCTTGCGTCCCAAAATCGTTTCCGGAGCATAACTCATAAACCGTTAAATATTTCCCTACGAAACTTTGCATGTCTATCAGACTCATGCTGAACTGGTGCCTTTTTCTATTTAGGAATTTTTTTAAATTTTTATTTTTGACGTTTCCATGGCAACAAGTTGGACTTAGGTTCTATAAGGGTGCTGTTCGTTTCCGGAGCGTAACTCAAAAAGCATTAAATACTTTCTTACAAAACTTTGCATGTCTACTAGGCACATACTGAACTGGTGTCTATAGCTATTAAGGAATTTTATAAATTTTTATTTTTTATGTTTCCATTGCAACAAGTTGGACTTAGGTTCTATAAGGGTGGTGTTCGTTTCTGGAGCATAACTAAAAAACTGTTAAATACTTTCTTACAAAACTTTGCAATGTCTACCAGGCACATACTGAACTGGTGCCTTTTGATATATAGCACTTTTAGAAATTTTTATTGTTTATGTTTCCATGACAACAAGTTGGATTTAAGTTTTAATATAGGATTGGTTTACTTAAGGAGTATAACAAATAAACTGTTCAATATTTCCTTGCCAAACATTGCATGTCTATATATAAAGCGCATACTGAACTAGTGCCATTTGATATTAAGGAGTTTTAGAAATGTTTATTATAGAATTTCCATTGCAGCTATTTTGACATGGGCTAAGAGAAATGTTGGGTCAGTTACCTGGTTTGGGACCATAACGTGTTAAAATGGGTGGGGGATATAGATGACTTTGTCAACTATACGCTTATTTTCACTGCAGTAAAACATCAAGTGTTATGTTCACTGTAGTGAAATGTCAAGCTTTATGTTCACTGCATTGAAAATATCACTTTTCTCAACTTCAGGTTATAATAAAAAAATTCCAGTAAGTGGGTGGGCATATTTGTGTTATCTCTGTTTTAGATATATATTGCTTGGGTCTGCTTGTGTTTGGTCTGTGTTTGACAAGCGTTATATTAAGTGTTTAATAATAAAATGTACTGCAACATGTTTGCTTACATTTTAATTTCGCACAGATACCCTTCTGGTCGAAGGCAAAAACATCTGCATGTTTGTGTACAGCTACAAATTCCTGTGAAAGCACACTTGAAGTTTGTGCACAGTTTATCTGATAGTGGGAACAGTAGGGTCAAGCCTTTAGGATGGAATGTCTTTTTGGTTTCTTTTGTATGGTGATGTCAATTGTAACTTGGTTACTTAATTACTGTTTACTGACTGTTTTTTCGTGTATTTTAGTGCACAGAATGGGTGCTATCTATACCCATGATACAGCATGACAACTTTTGTTTATGTTATTTTTCATGCAAAGCCTTGTGAGCAAGAAGGAAGTAATTTGGGAACATAGATAAACTGAAAAGAAATAAACTTTGTCTTGGAATTAAGTACAACATGTACTGGTCACCAACAATTTATTGCCATTTTTATCACTTTATTTCTTACATATTCCGTGTACACTATACCAATAACTTTAATTTTTGTGAAACTATGAGCAAATGAGCTTATTTCTGTCCATGGAATAAGATTCAGTTTATTTCTGGTATAACGCTACGATAGCAAACTCATTAAAATCAGATCTTAGTTCTCGCTACCGCTAAACAAAGATTTGAGGACATTCCATTACGGGTCAGGTCAGACTGACCTTTCGCGAACTTTGACCGACCAAAGGAACGACTAACAAGAAGACAATAGCCAATCAGAAGGCAGCTTAATCAAGCTTTACAGCACGAGTTTCACGAGACTACGCTTTGAAACATATTTTGACACATACTCGATTACACAATTAAAAACGGAACAAAAGAACATTCTGGAATGGCTAACAGATGGTCTAGATTGTATGAATACAGACATACAGCCCATAAATGTCGTTCAGAATACACTGTGTGTTTTTTTTCGAGGTTGCATGGTAAAACAATTGCATTCCAACTGTCATTTTCATGATCTGATAAGCGATGCTCTGATTGGTCAGATGAAAGGTCGTTCTGACATGACTCACAATGGGATGTCCTCAGATCTTTGTTTAGTGGTGACGAGAACTAAGATCTGATTTTAATGAGACTTACTGTACCAGTTGTCGCCATTGTCTTAACTGCACATGCCACATGATTACGTGCACTGCTTCAGTTAAACAAATTAAATTTTTTAGAATCTCAGGTATTACACTAATTTTTTTATTCATCAAAATTTATAACAAATGCTATTATCAATCTGTCGTCTGCAAACTGACAAAAAACAATATTCAAGAATTTCGATCTACACATGCTTATCCTTAACACTATGTACTATGGATTAGGCGATATACACCGGCTATGCAGTTTTGGAAATATAGCTCAAATAGGTTTCAGAATGGTATTTTGGGGAAGAAATGACAGACAGATAGAAAGTGATGACAGATCTGAGAGTGCATCATCATATTGTTTGATTTGTATATTTGCGTGAAGTAGTCATGTGACACCGCCCGGGTGTCTTTTCTAAAGTTGTATTGGAGCAAGGTGATTATGCTGTTTTTTAGAATCATCAAAAGAGTCTGTTTTGTTCATCATCTCTTCTAATGAAAACGAGCAAAAGTAAAACGAGATCCGATCACATTCGCGCTATAAAGGGTAATTGGAGATAATTGGTCATCAGGGATAACTGGTTGCTAGCCTGTAGGCTGTTGGTTGTTGGTTTGTTGTTTAACGCCCCACTCAGCAATATTCCAGCTATATGACGGCGTCTGTAAACAATCGAGCCTGGACCAGATAATCCAATGATTAATATCATGAGCATCGATCCACGCAATTGGGATCGATGACATGCGTCAGCCAAATTAGCGAGCCTGACCACCCGATCCCGTTTGTCGCCTCCTACGACAAACATAGTCGCCTGTTACGGCAAGCATGGGTTGCTGAAGATCTATTCTACCTTGGATCTTCACAGGTCGAGCCTTAAGGCATATTTGCAGGGTTTACACCATTTTGTCTTGTAACACAAACTAGTGATTTCACCTTAAGTCACTGCTAATTATATCATGCATTTACATGTTTATATATGAAAAGGTGTGTGAAAGCTATGACATGGTGATGTCTGTTTTGTATAGATGAAATTCACCAAGATTACTTAAAGGAACTTGGACAACTTGTATATATGACCTTATATGATTCTGTTGAGTGCTCCAGCAAATGAAAAAATTATGAAAGTTTTGTAATCACAACTGATGAAAAGTTGTAGATATCGTATTGGACATTTTGCTTGGTCAAGGAATGTATCCGTCAATATCCACATGCATGGAATACATTCCTCGAACAAGTAAAGCAAACAATATCCCAGCTGCAGCTATACAAACAAATTTGCTACATGTCACGTATCTTGGTGCAGAGCTACAGATAGGCAGTCTATTTGCGTAAAATAAACCC